TGAACCTGGACAACCAGGTCTACAGTGATCATTGAATGACTGAAGGTCCAGTAAGTACTGCCACATTTATCCTGATCATGTCTGGCATTTTTACAAGGCAGAGAGCGGCTTCATCTCCATTCTGACAAAGAATGAATCTTGTCCGTGACAGCTGCTGAGAAGACGAGAGAGAAACATGAACAAATGAACTAAAGTAAGGACACGACTGACATGTCAGCGTCAGGATCATTTTAGACACAACTGCAGTTAAATGTCCCTCGAACGTGGTTTCCAAGAGACCACTGAACACACCACATTAAAAAACAAGCAGCATGAAGCAATCAGTGCTAGTATTACTCATATCAATAAAGTGTTGTAATGTCTTGTACTGTATGTGTCCTTACCTGTAAACTGAAGCACCAGCATCAGGTTTAAAGACATTTTAATCCATCCGAATTCAAACATTGTTCCCGTGTTGCCCATCTTTTTTTTCTGCGTCTCGTTCTCACGCTCGTCTCTGATCTACTTCTTAAGAACAACTCGTGCAATGTGGTGTTTACTTCCTGAGAGAAGTGTTTATCAGTTCCTCATTGTGACATCTCTCCTCTTTTGTAATGTGCTGTGTTCATGAAGGAAGAGTTTCTCCCACGATGAGCAGTAGCACCCTGACAGCAGGTGGTGTCTGTCTAACCGTCACCCAGGATAACTTTTCCTTACCTCTGGCTTAACTGAACTATAAATGAGCACCTGTGAGGCATACGTCCTGAGGGTTACGTGTGTATAATATAAAGGTGGCATTACAACTAGGCTGAGTTAATTGAGACATCGAACATGTTACGATCATCTTACTAAAACATCATAACTGTGACTGAATAAACTATCACGAGAAGAAATATAACAAAAATGTACATATCCTATACTTATATAAGAGGAGTATAAGAAATAGGAAGCGAAGAGTTATAGAGAAGTGCCACATATAATATATATGGAGTATTAGCTAGAGAACAACACAATAGTTTATCAAATACTCTAACTAACAACATGAGACGACTACATCAGAAGGTAAAGACTATTAAGGAAAATATTTAATATATTTACGTTCTACCTGCTTCCTTTATTGCTTTTCACTGTTTTTGAACGTTCTCTATGTAGATTTGATCAATATAAGTGTTCTCAGTTTGTTGAACTCCTGGATTTCACTCTCGTCAGGCTACGATAGACGCCTTCATGTGACATTGTGCAGAACTACTAATAAATGTATTTAACTCAACGCTACATGAACAAGAAACCGCGCTAGCACTTGCAGGTCAATTCAGTATCCAGGACGAACGCGTGCACCATAGTGACATATACTCAAAGATGGTGAATATGGATAAACATCTATAACTCCACATGAACGGGAATAACAAAGAAACACTAGAAACAACGTCCAACACACACTCAACACTGAGGATAAACTATAAATAACAACAAAATTAACAGAAAGGACCATCTTTTGTCTGATGATGAAACAACACTCTAATGAACATGTGATGCAGGTAAAGTTAAAGGTGATGTCAGACTGTTTCTGTTTCTGACTCTAACGATTCATTTATAATCATGGAAATATTTCATATTATTTCTAATTAATGAAATCAGAGTTTTAGTTTCTATTTCATAGTTGTGGTATCAGAAGAGTCTGTATCATGTCATCCTGAGCTGCACTGTAAAAAATAATCCTAATTTTACGGAAAATAACTCTTAAGTTTTCTAACAGTAAATTACTGCTTAGAAAAAACTTAAGACAACCAGGCTCCTGGCTGAGCCGTGCGAAGATGCTGCTAACACGGTTAGCTGTCACACACTGTTACATTAGTCTTACAGGCTACATGCGATCATATATTGTGAGGAGTAACTTGTAATGTTATTGTAGCTGAAGTTAGCATGTGTGCTAACGTTAAATCTGTAAAAACCACAGTGTAAACGTTTTCTAACACTAAGACTGATGATGAATAACGGCTCCTGGACTTTTTTGCACCTATCCCTCCATCACTTATGGACGGCTGCAACAGCTTCCAGTCAACCTGTCAGACTGTTGCTCTGTCCTCCACGGAGCTATGAAGCATTTATTTTACATCTCTACTATAATTATTCTTGTTACTAAATAAGATTTATCCACCTCTTTATGATGCAGACTTGTTTGTGTGACAGTGAAGTTTACCTGCCACCTTCATTCACAACTGTATTCTAGTTTTAATTTGTCAGTTCAAATCCATTCGTGCTCCTGTCTCCTTCCCACACCTTCGACTGAGAGAACAAATGAGCTGAGGCTTCTTTAGGAGGCGTTCACTTCCCTGTTTTAGTGAAGTAGGGCTGGGACGATTATTCGACGTAATCGACGTTGTCGATTATAAAAGATATTCGACGTGGAATTTTAGTGTCGACGCGTCATGCAAAACCACACAGGGTAAATGTTCATAGAACAAAACCGGAACTTTCTAATGGGACCGTTTATATCCAGCGTCTTTGGTTCACCCGGATACAAGCGCAGCGCAAGTGCTGGGACAACGCGGTGACATAGTTGAAGTCATTGACTACGTGAATCTATTTGAACAACATGGCGGCGTCTACCAGCAGTACGACGGAGTGTGTGGAGCAACACGCTGCAAAAAAGGCTCGCACACGGTCCTCCAAAGTTTGGGAATACTTTAATCTTGACACCAACAGTGCGGTAGTCTGCAGAGTCTGCAAAGTGCATCTTCATTTGTGTGTGTGTGTGTGTGTGTTGGACGGGGCAAATTGTTATATTAAATGACTAACTGTAAAATAATTGCAATAGAATTACTGTTAGGTTAATAAAAAAAATAATCGTTAGATTAGTCGAATAATCGAAAAAATAATCGCTAGATTAATCGTCTAAAGAATATTCGTTTGGGACAGCGCTATAGTGAAGTGTCACTTCCTTACCACGACTTGAGTCCTTTTTTCCATCTTTCAGCCGATTCATTCATTCAGATGTTTTCACAACTTAGCATCTGACTTTGCTGTCAAACATTAGAAACATTGATATGAGCTGATTTCACCAGTTTTCATTCAACACTTGATTTTAAACTTTGGCCCATGATGTTTACATCATCCTGGAAAGAGGAAGGTTGAGGAAGGAGTTATAGATGTAGCTGTGCAACTGTTGTTGTCCCCGCAACACAACTGAGTAAAGAGTTCATGGTAATGTTTGACATCACACATAAATGCAGAAGTAAGTCAAACACGTCGCCCTCCAGTCGCCTGCAGCTGATGGTACAAGACAGTGCTACTAGGAAACTGAGAACTAAAGAGGAACTATTTCAACATGTGTGTGTGAACAGAAGCAGCACAGCTCTCAAAGTTTTACCGCCGAAATTCGGGACTTCAGTCTGTGAAAATAATGAAGGCTTCATTAAACAGGCTCGTGACGTTTCATGTGTGACTGCTCTACCTTTAGTTTTCCTTCCCCATCTGATCAAGCCACTACCGGCGATTATTAAGAGCGCGCGCTAAACCACAGCCACAAATGACGTACTGCCACCACTGCCTGGTTTGGTGTAGATTGTGTGTTATTGTTGAATGAAATATCGATCTTGCAGAACTAGTCGTTGTTGTGTACGCCTTGGCGCATTGCGTCAGTCTGCGAATTGATACGTTCATAACCTGGTCAGCGAAAGAGCTAAGGGTTATGAAGAGATACGAGTGGGAGAATAGAATGATTTGACGTTCATAAAGTTCTTTGTACAAGATTTTTTTCGTTATTAACGGATGTGGCACTTTTCGTGTTTGGTGTGTAGTAGTAGGGGACAATGGCCCCACAGACTGACATCTTACTGAGTATCGAATTGTGGTAGGAGTCTCTTTAGAGGTGAGTTATTAGTCTAATTGATAGCATTTGCGTACGTCGTCTTATTCTCTTAAAGTGTGATCAAGCATGCAGCGTGATAATAAATGAGATGAGCCTACACTAAAGAAGCGATCAAAGATGGTTGGCGGTATTATTTGTTAAGGGGTAGAGATCGAAGTTAGAGTTCTCTGTAGAGTCAAGACAGGGAGAGGTGTTGTTGTTATTGTATACTTACGGTTGTTGATAGAGTATAGTTCGAGGGCGTTTCCATTGTACATGTGGTTGTGTCGATGATGCTACTGAAACGGAGGTTAGGGCGAAATTTCTAGAACAAAAAACAGAAAACCAGCTACCAGAGAGATGTATTTGATGATGTGTTGCGTGCTGATTAGTTGTTAGGTGTATTATCTCCACTCGTCGACGAGCAGAACGACGAGATGTGAATGCTAGTCTGTTGGTAAGAATGTTGCCAATATGTGCGGAGTTGGTCGAAGATGTAGGCATACAAAGCCTCGTTAGTTTCATCTTCCGGCTGGGTTGACTCTAGTGTAGGTGGAAGGTGTTCGTGATCCATGCAGGCTGACCCGGTGGCTGTCATCTGAGTTTAGATTGTGGTTATTAATGATTATCGATGAGTGACTGTTCGTAGACGCAGTCGTAGTGACTCACTCGGATTATAGCGCGTTGGTTGACTTGTGATGAAGATGAGCAGTGTTAAGATGACACACGGGCTGAGCAGGTACGAGGTGTTGACTCTATGTTGATGCATCATCCTTTAATACCTCTATACAGGCCACTGCACTAGGTATCCACAGCCTCCATATGCCGACACTGAGCAGAACAAGACGACCATATCACCGTCCTTCTGTTCAGTCACTGGTGAAGACGGAGACATTGAGGGACAAGAAACAAGAGAGAATGAACCTCATCACTGTAATAATCATCATGATTGTAAAGTTTCAGGTTTTAACAGACAGTTTGATGTAAATACTCACTGGTAACAACAGACAGACAAGCCAGCAGGAGTCTGACTTGTTGTTTCCTGATTGTCAAATCTGTCTGCAGCCGTACGCCAACATCCTCACGTGGGACGTTCTTTAGAACCAGAGAACAGTTCTCTGTCAGACTCAGTCTGTCTGATTTAGTCTGAGCTTTACCAATCTCCCAGAACAACCAGTCTACTGCTGAGATAGATGACTGAAGGTCCAGTGTAGCTCACATTTATCCTGATCATGTCTGGCATTTTTACAAGGCAGAGCGGCTTCATCTCCACTCTGACAAAGAAGGAATCTTGTCCTGTGACAGCTGCTGAGAAGACGAGAGAGAAACATGAGAAAACTAGAACCACCTACATGCACCGTCGGTCGTTCTCCGCCACTCAGAGACTAGTTCCAGGGTCACTTCCGTGTTATCTATCCACATGTCACCGATATAGTATGAGGACCAAGATGTATATGGTCAGTGGGAGCTCTAATAGATAGTCAATTATCCACCAACCTCCTCCTGACGCCTGGACTGTTGTACTTCTTTATACTACGTCTACTAACGATCCCTTATGCTCCTGTCATAACATTACTAGAATCACCTTAGCAACAAAACGCATAAATATGATGTCATAATATAACCTGTCATTGCACAAACGACCTGGGGTGAACTGGACTCCAATCGTCATCAGAGCGGGAACTGTTGATCTTTAACATGTCAGTGGTGATGTCTAGAGACAAATACAAACTGAATTTGATAATGACTCTTATCCTTGATTTAGAGACTCCATAATAACTTGTTTCACATTCAAACACACAACTACAGCTGTATTTAACGACTGTGTTACTGAAAGCACCACTAGTCAAGTTTCCTCTATGATTATCTATTATCGTGTGTTATATGTTGTCCTTGACCTTGTGGAACTTAAGGGCCCCAGCATCAACAAAACAAAGAGCATTTTAATCCATTTAGTCCATATTGAGTTCAACCATCTGCTACGACTGTCCTCCTTTCTCAACCTTACGACTGAGAGAACCAAATGAATGGCTGAGGCTTCCTTTAGGAGGCGTTTCACTTCCTCTGTTTGTAAAATAACCCTTTTAAATAAATAGAAATATTAATGACATTTTCTGTAAATTTATTGTTGTTAAACTTTATTTGAATTAATATTTTACTTTAATTTTACGGTTTTTGTTCGGCAGCCGCTGCCGGTCATTTGACTGTTTTTTTATGATTTCTTTTTTACAGTGTGCAGTGATGAAGAAGAGTAAAAGCTTCATCAGCATCATTAAAGAATCTGTTCAGAAGCTAGAAGTTATTATGTAACAATGACGCAATAAAATCACCATAAATCTTAAGAAGCATCAGATCGTTCAGAGCTTCCCTGGTGATTCAGGTAAACGTCCATCACTGATCTCAGTAAAGTCTCTGACAGGAAGGAAGATATTTCATATATTACACTCATTTATCTCAGAAACCAGATACAGATAATCTACAGCACCTGGACAAAAAGGCGTCTTACAACAACTACTCCTGGAAAAACGCGATGAAATGAATCATGAAAATGAAATGTACAAATCTACAAGATTGTAATAGAACGGCATCAAGGCCAAACAATGCTACACGTCTGAGATCCACATTAATATCTGGATCTGCACCAAGCTGTGCAAAGATCTCAACATCATAAATAAGCCTGATTTTCTTTTTTACATCAAGACCCAAACATTACTCCCTGAGAAATTGACAAGAAAAGAGTCTGCTGGAAAACAACCTCCTTGGTGGAGGTAACTACAACAACCAGAAACAACACATCCTCAAATATTAGTTGAATCAATAACTATAAATAACAGAGTCATGATTATATACAAAATATAAGTTACTATAAAATGCTCTCCAGGATTTGGACAGGACAAACCATTTTCCTGTTTGATCAGCACATATCAGTAACACAGTAACTCAGTAACATAATGATAACACAGGGAACTACACTGTGACCTCTGATTTGTTCGGTTTGTCGACGGTGGCGTAGACGTCTCTGGGATCAGCGGCGGCTCCAGCTGAAGAGGAGGGAGTCTTCACAGTGCTGTAGGTCACCGCATCATCATCATCATCATCTTTAACCTGAACCTGAGAGATGACGCAATAGAATAAAAACTTCAATAATAAAAGAAACAGCATGACAACTGAGTTACTACAGATAAAAGAATTGTAAGGATTTTTGTTTTTGTAATTCTCATTTCAGCCACAAGAGGCTGTGAAAAAAAAAAGATCCCAAGAGAATTTTTTCTTTGCCGATTAAAATACGTTTCTATCCGACTCACACCTCGACAAATCACCAGGAAAAGAGCGTAAATACTTTTGGTCCCGTGTAGACCGGGGTAGTGCTGCACTTTAGCCTCTTGTGGCCAAAATGAGTTTTACAAAAACAAACTCTCCTGACAAAAACGAAATAAATAATTCTCCTTGTTTGACCACTAAAATATCAACTGTTGGACGGACTGCAGTTAAACTCATGGTCCCCAGAGGATCAATCGTACCGACTTTGTCGACCTCCCTATTTCCCCACTGCCACTGATTGACATTTTTGGATCTTTGTGAACCATTTTCACAACTTTGGATGGATGGCATTAAATCTTATCATAATAACGTTAGTGATTGTGCCACCGTGAAGTTGATATTTGTGGTTTTAAGTGAAATATCTGCAGCAATTATTTGATGGATTGCCATGAAAAAGCAAATTTTCTTCCGCTCGTCCAGGGTCAGGTCGCGGTGGCAATGAGCTAAGCAGGTATCCAGACGTCCATCTCCCCAGCAACACTTTCCAGCTCCTCCTGGAGGATCCCGAGGCGTTCCCAGGCCAGATGGGATATGTAGTCCCTCCAGCCAGTTCTAGGTCTACCCCGGGGTCTCCATCTTTCCCTCACTCATGAACAAGATCCCAAGATACTTGAACTCCTTCACTCGAGGCCGTAACTCACCCCCAACCCGGAGGGAGCAGTCTGATCTGTCGCTAACACAGCTGTAGACTCACAATGTTGTGTCTTCACTCACCACCATCACCAGTATAACCAGTGAGACAGCTCACCTGGGCTCTACCATCGGTCTTCTTGGTGTAGCTGATGGAGGCGTAGGAAACACCTTCTTCAGGATCAGCCTGCACAGTGAGGACAACACGAGCTCAGTGACATGTGAGCATGCTGGATTGGTTGAGTAATTTTACTTCCCCTTTTCTCTGTTGCTCAGTGAAAATAGACTCAAAATGTAACAGAAAGACGTGTCACTCGCTGCTACAGCGTGCAGAACACATACTGTAAAAACACTGAGTGTGACTTTGTACTGGGTGAAGTGGGTGATCTCACCGTGTCCTGACCGGTCTCTGGAGCAGACTGACTCACTGCAGGGTTTAAGCTCAGTCCCTGGAAAATACAGCCAATGGCCACATGTTACAGAACATACTGCAACCCTCACCTTTACATTTTACAGTACAGCTGGTAGAAGGTTGCTCTGATAGTAAGTGATTATTAAATGTGAAAACTCACCGTGTTGTCATCCGCCCATCTTTTGTTTCCTGGAAAAACAAAAAGCGAATCGACTTCATCTGTGAAAATGAAGCTTCATTAAAAACAGCTCGTGACGTTTCCATGTGTGACTGCTCTCACCTTTAGTTTTCTTCCATCTGATCAGCACTACGGCGATTATTAAGAGCGCCGCTAAACCCACAGCCACAATGACGTACAGCCACCACTGACCTGGAGGGAGAGTAAAAACACTGAAAACATTTTGACTGCTGATCTCTTGTTTCATAACCTGCAGCGAAAATATTAAAAAATTAAAAGAATCTTTTGCAAAAGTTTTGACAATTTCTTTGAGAAGTACATTTTCTGTTGGTATAAAAACCATGTCCTGACGGTCTCTGGAGCAGACTGACTCACTGCAGGGTTTAAGCTCAGTCCCTGGAAAATACAGCCAATGGCCACATGATACAGAACATACTGCAACCCTCACCTTTACATTTTACAGTACAGCTGGTAGAAGGTTGCTCTGATAGTAAGTGATTATATTAAATGTGAAAACTCACCCGTGTTGTCATCCGCCCATCTTTTGTTTCCTGGAAAAACAAAAAAGCGAATCGACTTCATCTGTGAAAATGAAGCTTCATTAAAAACAGCTCGTGACGTTTCCATGTGTGACTGCTCTCACCTTTAGTTTTCTTCCATCTGATCAGCACTACGGCGATTATTAAGAGCGCCGCTAAACCCACAGCCACAAATGAGAACGTAGCAGGCCACGCATAGACATAGAACGCTACCACTCGACAAACATTTGTGTTGAACTGCGTATGATAGGGACTCGGTCACATTATTAGATACTCAGTAGTGCATTGGTATTATTAATAAATTAATTAGGGAATTCTTGGTTGTTATATATAAGAGGTAAGACATATATCTTATTGCACGAAAGACATCTTTCAATAGTTGGTGAGAGCATCCGTTAGGGAGCCGGTAAGGAAGAGCTGGATATCTATAACATATATGTAGATTCAACTTCATTGGGAAGGTCATCCAGTGGATTGATTCTTAAGTAAACTGTAACCATCTAAATGATCAAGATGCAGATAATAAATTGATCTCATTATAGAAGAACAACAAGCAAAAGTTAGCAGGGAAAACTGAAGCCTGAACGTTAGAGATCTGAGAGACGACAAGGGAAGTAGGGAGAAGATCACTCTAGGCCTTGCTTCGATACTCTCGTTATGTCTGGATTCTGGTACACCTGACAGGTGGTGAAATTTGAGGAAAACGACGCACACACACCAACACGGAGAAGAGTGATATGGTGAAAAGCTTTTGTCTAAGAGCAACCGTAGAAGAACGGGATGTATTACTTGTCGGTCACTGTATAAATTCGAATGCATCGAAATTCCGTCAATAGTTCACAACATAAACAAACGCTGTTTTCTCTCCTGAGGAACTGAGGGACTGAAGGTAAACAGCAGCCGTTCCTTTCCGTTTCTTCTGTCACTTCACACTTGAATGACTCCTGATAACTTTGACTTGTGATGAAGATGAGCAGTGTGTGACGAGCACTCGGGCTGAGCAGGGAATTGTTAACGCAGGTGTTGACTCTATGTTGATGCAATCATCCTTATACCTCGATACAGGCCATGCACTAGGATCCGAGTGACAGGGAGAGCAGAGACAGAGAGACCAACTGGAATTATACACTGTCCTTCTGTTCCAGAGGGATACATACGGTGAAGACGTGAGATATTGAGGGACAAATTGATCACCAACGAGTGAAGAGAATCTGAACTCATGCGGACTTGTAATAATCCATCATGATTGTAAATTGTTTCAGAGTTTTTAAAACAGAACAGTTTTGGGAGTCGTAGGTAAGGCACCTCCACATTGGATACACGAACAGATCGCGCCAGGATATCCAGGACGAGAGCTTGGATAAGGTTGTTGTCTTTGATACTATGCTCTCGCTCAAACTAGAGAGAGTTAAGAAACCGACAAACCACTCCCTAGACCGTGTGTGGATCGGTTTCCGGTCTATAGAAAGACCAGATGATTAGACTTAGTTCATTGGGCTTACCATTAGTCTGTCTGATTTACTCTTGGCGTTCTCACAATCTTCCGCAAGAACACCAGCTCTACTGCTGCAGAAGATGAAAAACTGAAGGTTTCCAGGTCGTTAGCGTCACATTTATCCTGGATGCATGTCTGGCATTTTTACAAAGGCAGCAGCGATGCTTCATCTCTCGTACTTTCTCAGCAGCTTCACAGTGAACAAGATGTCCTTCTTTGTCAGAGTTTGTCGGAGATGAAGCCGCTCCTGGCCTGTCGTAAAAATGCCCAGCACATGATCAGAGGTAAATTGTGAACGCTACGACCTGACGTTACAGTTCATATTCTGCAGCAGTAGAGAGCTTGGTGTTCTTGGGAAGATTGGTGAGAACGCCAAGAAGAAACATTCAGCACAGACTGAGTCTGACGAGAACTGTTCTCGGTTCTAAAGAACGTCACACGTGAGGATGTTGGTCCCTGTACGGCTGCAGACAGTTTGATCAAGTCAGGAACCCAACAAACAAGGTTCAGACTCTTGGTTGATCTGTCTGTTGTTCCAGTGAGCTTATTTACATCAAAACTTGTCCTGTTTAAAAAACTCTGAACTTTACAATCAGATGATTATTAAGTGATGAGGTTTCACTTTCTCTCTTGTTGTCTTGTCCCCTCAATGTCTCCGTCTCAACAGTTGACTGAACGAAGGACGGTGATATGGTTGTCTTGTTCTGCTCAGTGTCGGCATAATGGAGGCTGTGGATACCTAGTGCAGTGGCTGTATGAAGGTATTAAGGATGATTGCATCAACATAGAGTCAACACCTCGTACCTGCTCAGCCCGTGTGTCATTTAACAACTGCTCATCTTCATCAACAAGTCAAAGTATCAGGAGTCATTCAAATGTGAAGTGACAGATAGAAACGGAAAGGAACGGGCTGCTGTTTACCTTCATCCCTCAGTCCTCAGGAGAAGAAACAGGTTTGTTTATTTGAATGGATTTGAATTTTACAGACGACATCATCTTTCTTCTGTTGCTGCAGACGGAAAACTTTACACATTTTCTCCTTTGTTGTTTCTGTTTTTGTCTAATTTCACATTCAATTGTACCAAATGGAAACGGAACAACTCATCAAGGTAGAGACTTCACATCTTCCCTGTCGTCTCTCAGGATCTCTAACTTCAGGCTTCAGTTCCCTGTAAACTTTTGTGTTGTTCTTTCTATAATGAGATCTTTATTTCTGCATCTTGATCATTTAAGATGGTTACAGTACTTTAAGATTATACCTTAAAAGACATGCTCCAGTACAGTTCATGTCTGG